TGTTATGTTGTGTTCTTATATTTATTCATACCAAAATGTCTAATTAAAAAAAATTATTCATGGGTGATTTAGAGCTGTATACATTTCCACATATTTAAGGATTTCCTAGGGATGATTTTGTTATCAGTTTCTAATAAAATTCCACTGAGAGCAGAGCACATTCTTTGTATGACTTGAGTACTTTAAAACAGAATTATTTTATGGTCCAGAATATGGTCTAACTGGATAAATGCTTCATGTGCCTATGAGAAGAATGTGTATTCCGTTGTTGTTGGTTGTGGAGTGTTCTGTTATTCATATCAAGTTGGTTGATAGTGTTGCTCAAGTCTATTGTACCCTTGCTTCTGCTTATCTATTCTATCAGTTAATGAGAGGGCATATTCAAATCTCAGACTGTAATTGTGGATTTGTCCTTTTCTTTTTGCTGTTCTATCAGTTCATTTCATATGTTTTGAAGCTGTTAAGTACATACATATCTGAAATAGTTATGATAGTTATCACTTGATTGACCGCTTTACTGTTATGACATGACTTTCCTCTCTGGTAATATTTGCTATAAAATTTATGTTATGTGATATTAATACAGCCACTCAAGATTTCTTTTGACTAGCATTAGCATGACAAATCCTTACCATCTTTTTACATTAACCTACCTGTGTCCTTATATTTCAAGTGTGCTTCTTGTAGGCACCATATAGTTGTGTACTCCTTTATTAAAATCCAATCTGCCAATCTCTGCCTTCTAATTGGAATGTGTAGATCATTTCCGTTCCCCATGATTATTGATATGGTTTCGTAAAACTCGTTCACATTTATATTGATTTTCTGCTTCTTCCATATGTTCTTGCTCCCTATTTTTCTTGCATTTATAAGGTTTTTTATTATTTCATTTTGTCTTCTGTGTTGGACTACTGGTTATAACTCTATTTTGTTATTTTAGTAGTTGCTTTAGGATTTATAGTATATACTTTAAATTTATCAGTCTTATCTTCAAGTGATACCACTTTGTGGATAGTATAAGATGTTGACCCCAGTATACAGGCTGTTGATGCCTTGCACATGAATGCAGGACCATAAAAATGACTGTGCAAGCTGAAACCATTCAAAACAGTCTTAATAATCAATGGAAAAATTTACAGTTGTTCCATGACCTTTAAAAATGTTTGTCAAAAAATGAAAAGCTCTGTTTCAGTTGCAAATGTATGGAGAAATTAAAAATAGACAAGCCAATATTTTCAATATAAAACATTAGGAATATTGAGTAGGTTTTAGTTTTTTGTAAAAAAATTTATCAGGCAGTTTGAACAATGCGTTTTTCTTCCTCTCATATAACTTACAATATGAGGTGAGCCTCTTTTCCATGGTATAATGAGTTATATTCCAAGTTTGGTTCAGCTTCCAATATTTTAAAATTTGTACTCTTAACGTCTTGAAATAGTCCAAAGTTCAATGTTAAGTTTCTTTGCCAATGTAATTTCCTCTGGGACATCTTCAATGTTTAAGTCATAATCACTTTCTCCATTCATATTGTTTACCTTCACTAAGCAACTCTGACTGTATAGACTCTTGAAGGGTGCCAACATTCCCATCAACAGCTATTCTTCCCATACCTACATTTATGCTGGATTTGAATTTCACTTCTGATCCTATTGCTTTTTGTTTTTTGCTACACTTTCATCTTTATTGGTTACTTCCACCTTTCAAAGATCCATCTTTGTAAAATAGCACATGAGTTTATCAGGAGGAGGCACACAATTACAACCTTTGCTGTGTCTATAATGAATTACAGGTGTGCAGTGTCCAATCACTGGCAGACCTTGAATAGAAGTGACGTGATTGGTCACTTACAATTCATATCTGTTATTTAGGTAGTGATTTGTGAACTGAGGAATCTGTAAAGTCTGTACTTCATGCAATTATTTACAGATAATATACCTGTAAATTATATTATCTGTAAATATATTTTACAGATAGTAAAATTTAACAGAAAGTTGAATAGTGTTGCTGGGGGAACAGTGTTAGGTAACCAAATGTCATGCATGTTAAGAGTACAGAATAAGGAATATCTATTCTTTCATTATTTTCCTCCTGGCCTTTACCCTATTGTCATGTACTTAACTTTGACATGTTATAAACTCCAAAACATTATTATTGTTTAACTAGCCAATTATCTTTTTAAGAGACTTAATAACTTTTTGAAACTTGTATATTTACCCATGTGTTTATCATTTCCAACATTCATCATTCCTTTGTGTAGATCCATGTTTCCACTTTCCTAATTGTGTTGCTGTCCCGTATCTTGAAATCCACTTTTTCATGTAGTTTGTCTTTTTAAAATTTGGTTATTTCAGCAAGAAGGGTACATGTGGTCCTTGTCATTCCATCTTGGAACTAATACAACTAATCTGCAAGAAATTACTTTTTGAGTGTTACTGTAATATCAAAGAAGAATATCCAAAATTATGTGAAAAGACTATCACAATACTTCATCCTTTCCCAACTACATATCTGTATGAGACTGAACTTTTCTGTATACTTCAGCTATAACAATTTTAGCAAATTAAATAGTGAAATACATGTGAGAATGCAGGCATCTTCTGTAAAGTCAAATACCGAAGAGTTGCCAAAAAGTAATGCTATTTTCTTAGCTCAGATTTTTGTTTTAAAATATGTTTTTCATAACAGGCACATTTGTTAACATGTAATAGCTTTTAAAACATATTAATAAATGTATCACTTCTAATATGGTAAATATCAACAGATAAAACCCACTTAAGCAAAAGCTTTTTTGGAGTCCTCAACTTAAGAGTATTAAAAGGCCCTAGTACTTAAAACCTTTGAATACCAGGACTCTATATAGTGTGCATCTAACCACAAACCTTAATTTAACTGCTTAAAGTTTTATTAGCAGCTTGAGGTATGCCATTACATCTTGGACTAGGAAATTAGTTTTTCCCCAACAGATTTAAAACCAGAACATCCAGAAGGTACTAAAACAATAAAGTGAAATGAAGGCATTTTAAAGTAGTTATGCATTTTATGTACTCTCTATTCTTTTGTTTAACAGTTGAATGAAAAAAAGGCAACCTCTATGTGGGCTAATACAATCAAAACCTATCGGCCGGGCGCGGTGGCTCACGCCTGTAATCCCAGCACTTTGGGAGGCCGAGGCGGGTGGATCACGAGGTCAAGAGATCGAGACCATCCTGGTCAAATGGTGAAACCCCGTCTCTACTAAAAATACAAAAAATCAGCTGGGCATGGTGGCACATGCCTGTAATCCCAGCTACTCAGGAGGCTGAGGCAGGAGAATTGCCTGAACCCAGGAGGCGGAGGTTGCGGTGAGCCGCGATTGCGCCATTGCACTCCAGCCTGGGTAACAAGAGTGAAACTCTGTCTCAAAAACAAAACAAAACAAAACAAAAAAAACCTATCCACCTACCCACACAAAGTATAGCAATCATCTATAATAGAAATTGGGATCAGAAAAAGTATTCTCTTGAGCTATAAGAGACCTACAGAATAGTAATGGTATTTTTGGCACAAATGCCCGAAATGCTTTAATTCTTTCCTGTTAATTTTTCCATAGATAACTAGTTCTTATGAACTGTTTCCAGATAGTATACTCAGTGGTTAAGATAACAGTATTTGGTATTAAGATTATTTGGGTTTAAACTCTAGCTCCAACTTCTAAATGTGGGACTTTGAGAAAGTCAAACTGATTACTTTCTCTATTTGTAAAATGGGTGTAAAAGTGTTACCTTATATGGTTGTTTTGAGAAGTAAGTTAGTTAAAGTTAAAGCCATTTAGCAATGTTATTTAAGTTCAGCAATTATATTTATTTTCAATAGTGCCTATTAGCCAATGGGCTTTCAAAAGACACATCTGAAATAAAAAACTGCATCTACTCATTTATGAGGTCTAAGAGAAGGCAGGAGTTCAGTTTAGTTTTTGTTTTAGGATCACACAAGTGATATGATCACACCTGGCAAGAACTGAAACCCATGGTCAGATTCTAAATAATCACTTATGTTAGTGCTAGGCTTTATTTAAATTGCTCCTAGAAACATCCCCAACCCTAAAGCTGAGAGAATCAAGAGTTAAATTGTTTCAAGTCAGGGAGGGCAGGATTTTTGCTGCCACATTGTCTAAATTCATTCAACATTTAATGAATAACCACTGGCCATCAGTATCAGGTGGACAGAAATGAGTAAGGTGTCTACATTCTCGGTAACTTAGAAGCTGGTGATTAATAGAGTAGCATATAAGACAGTGTTTCCCATGGTATGATCTGCATACCACTGATTGTGTCTACAGTAAGCAACCCAAGTGTTCCTGGGATCAGGGTCATCTGTCTATAACAGGAAAAGATTAATGGGAGATAAGCTCTACTTTGCAACAGGCTATTTTTCTGAAATAATGGCATTATTAGCATCAGTCTGAGATGCAGAAACAGCAGCAGAATGTTAGGGGGAAATTGCCAGGCCTACCAGTTGTCCTTTCCCCTGTGGGAACAGATTCCCTACAGACTTGGAAAGAGTAAAGCCAGGCAAACTATGTAGACAGCCCTCTGCATGCTCATTTATGGGCCACTCACCCTCTAGTGTTTCCAATAAGGCTAAAGGAAGAATCAGGATAGGAAAGGAGCATGGGACGAACAGCAGCAGTGACCCTAAAAACCAATCAGTTCAGATGTACTTACTGGGCCACTACACCTGCCACCACCCAGAAGTGCTTTAAAAGTATCCTTTTTTTTTTTAAAAAAAAAAAAAAAAAAAAGAGGGAGTCACTTAGAGAAAACTATTACATAAATAACACTATGAGCTGTGTAAGAATTTGACAGAATTATCAGAGACACAAAATAACCAATTATAAAAGATGCTATATACAGCTAAACAACACATAAGGCAATATAGAATTGCTACACGAAAGACACGAGTAATCAGTACCATTATGATCAGAGAGAAGCAATCAATTCCAGTGAAGATGGTTAGGGCTGAGATTCAAAGAAACAGACTTATTAGGCTGAGTCTAAATGAATGAACAGAATAGGCTAAAAGTACTCGAAAAAAAGCAAGCAGTAATCAGGGCGGAGCTTAAGCAAGGACAGAGATATTCAAAGCATAGTCAGAACACAGTGAAGCCACTTTTAGTAAGATTCTCTGCTCTTTATTTTCTTACATAGAAACTACTTGCATTCATCTAGGTTATTATATATATTCTTAGAAAAATGATATAGGTTAGCTAAACTCTCATACTCCACTATATATGTGAAAATACCATTTACAACATAATGTACAGACAGTCCCCAACTTAAAATGGTTGACTTACAATATTTCAACTTTAAGGTGGTACAAAAGTGATATGTGTTCAATAGAAACTATACTCTAAACTTTGGTTCTTTCCCAGGCTAGATATGTGGTACAACATTCTCACGATGCTGGGCATCAGCTCAACTGATACTTTACAGTGTGTCATGTTGCCAGATGATTTGCCCAACTATCAGCTAATTTAAGTGACTGACTTGAGCATGTTTAAGGTAGGCTAGGCTAAGTTAGGCTGTTAGGTAGATTAAGTGTGTTAAATGCATTTTTAACTTAAGGTATTTTCAACTCATGATGGGTTTACTGGGAAGTAACTCCATGGTAAGTCGAGGAGCATCTGTATACCTAAAGGGCAGTAACTACCATATTAAAATAGCTTTGAGACACCCGAATAGTGGTAAATGCCACACCATGACAGGTGTTTCATATCTCTAACTTTCCCTAGATGTCCTAAAAACCATTTAAGAGAAATAAAGCATCTTCCCTGCCTCATGCCCTCTAGTCGGATTTCTATTATTGGTTAAGCAAATTCCAAATAGGCAAAATGGCAAAAAAAGAAAAAAAAACAGTAATAGAGAAAAAAAAAATTAGCAAAGTAAATTAAGGGGAAAATTACACAGTTACAGAAAAACTGAAAAAATATTCTCATTTTTATATCCTGGGAAGACTAATTCTTTAAAGCAAAATAAGGAACAACGAACATTATCAAACAGTCCTTATTGTGCTTTTATTTTTTTATACTATAATTAATACTCCCTCAGTAATTTTATGTACTAATACTGTGAAGCAAATGGCATAACTGTTTAGGTGTCCAAAGAATCATTCTAATCCTAGCACAGTTATCAACTTGTCTATGACTTTGAAAACAGTATTACTTTCTCTTACTGATACAATAAAGAAGTTGAGCCAAATGACATTTGAAGTTTCTGCCAGTTCTAAATGTTAATGATGCCACATTAGTTTTGTAGACAATTCACTACTTCTTTTCTTCTAAACTGACTTCTTAAATCAGAGTTTTCCTAAATATGGTGGAAAGTTTCCAAAATGTGTCACATTTTAGAATTATTAAAATTCCAATCTACTTCTAAGAACTGAAAATAATTTCCTTACAAATAAAGTCCTCTATTTCTTATCAACCATGTTCTTAGAAATACGAATCTGGATGTGTATAAAAACCTTAAACAACAGTTAATGAAAGTAAAACTACAAAAATAGTCTCTACTAACTTAGTAAGTTGAAGTTTTGTATTAGGAAACGACATTACGATAGGAAATAACATAGATTACCTATTTTTGAGAATCCTCTGCAATAATAGCATTTAAAAATATAACTATTTTCCTCCGTGTAATTTCTGTACATAATTGCTAACTTTTCTGAATTTCCAAAACTTACATGTAATGACTTTCAAATACATGTCAAGAAAGTGTTTCATTTATCATTGCAAACACTGATTTATTAAATAAAATAGGAGTCTGGCCTTTATAAAAGTCAGCATTACATTTCTCACAGAGAAATCAAGAAAAAAAATTCCTATCACAGATAGTTATCAGTAGTCTTTGTGATGTTTTCCAACTAATATTTCATTAAAGAAATGAAGTGGGAGCTGCATTTCCAGATGAGGCTCGTGCTTTAGCCATTCTCCGAACCAGCGCTTCTTGTCTTTTTCTCTGAATTTCTTCAGGAGAACACTTTCTATTTTTCTCCTCTTCCTCTGAAAATTCAACAAAAGATAAGTTTTACTTTTATTGCCTATAAAGTCATTCAATATGTGCTTTAATTTTTGCTCTTTTATCACTCAGATTTGCCATACTGGTTTGACTAATAAATCAAACTAAATTACTAAATACAAAATTCCAAGTATCTAATACAGATATAATGCTCCAATTCAAAAAAAAAATGAAGCACCAATTGATCTGTCTCTATTCGACAAATTCTTTTCACAGTGTGATAAAATTCAATTTGATAGAAAACTATTTGACTATTCACCAAACAATTCTTGTGAACAATGACATTTCATTTATATGACCTATGAATAAATATATCCTTATAAAGGATAAATTAGGATTTAAAAATGTTATATAAACTTTAATAGGAAAGTAATCAAAAGATAAGAAATTAAATTAGCTATCAATATCTCAAATTATGTATATTTACATGTTATATTAATATTCAAATCTATTTTTTCCTTATAGAACTATAAAAGTTTCATTTCATCCACAGAGAAAATGTATTTTAGAGTGATAAAATAAAATCTCTTATATCAAACTGGTCACCTGTGATTGACTGTCAGAAATTATATTTTTATTTGGATGATACATTTTGGAGAAACTTTAAAATAATCTCAATTAACTTAGTAAGTTGATGATGTATCAGAAATCACTTTCTCATTTAAATAATACAAGTTTAAGACCATCACCCTAATACATGTTTAAGTAAACTTTTACGAGTATAAGTATTTATGTTGTAAAATATGCTTTTTAAGAAATAATAATCTGTAATATTGACAGAAGAGAAATATTATTATTTATATTGGCATCTAGAAATTCACAATTTATGAGACATTTTTCTTGTTAACTAACAAAGGCATTTTCCAAAATATGTCATCTGTCTCTCTTTCCTTTCTTGGTATAATCAGAAATGGAAAGGGGTATTCAGGCTAAGAAATACATATTTTAAATAAGTTCCCCAGATGACTCTGATGACTTTATTTGCTAAGCTATTTAAATAACAAACTATAGCTATTTTTCCCTACAGAAAGACACCAGAAGATACTTTCTGTAGGGAAATTAGTTTGGCTAATCACCTAATACTTTAGTCTCAAAGTTGAGAAAGACAACAAACTCAGAGCACACCCACAAAGACCTTACACTGAATTTGACACTTTCTGTAGGGAAATTAGTTTGGCTAATTATCTAATGCTTTAGTCTCAAAGTTAAGAAACACAACAAACTCAGACCACACCTACAGAGACTTTATATTGAATTTGACTGTGTGGAAATAAAACAGGTTAATAATACACAACAACAGAAAATATAACTAAGTTCATCTTACAATTTGCTTGGTAATATTACAGAAAATAATTTCAAATGATAATCAGGTCACACCATGAAAATCTGATTTAAGGAGTCATCCATTTTTTCTATCGAGTCTTTCCTTTAACTCAATCTATAATAAAAATACACAGCAAAGCCTTAAACTATTGTAAAGTACTACGCAAAAGCTGCTTTTCTTAGTCTTGATCTTACATGCAAAGTTAGTTATTTTTTTTTTCTGTAAAGGGTCAGAAAGCATGCATGTTAACCTTTGAGTATCTTGTTGCAAGTGTTCACCTGTACCATTGTACCAAAAATAGTCATGGATAATGTATAAATAACTGATGAGTTGTGTTCAAATAAAACCTGCTTATGGACAATGAAATCCGGGTTTCATATAATTTTCAATATATATTTCAATGTCATGAAATATTCTCCTTTTGATTTTTTTCAACCATTTAAAAATGTAAAATCCATTTTTAGTGTGCTGGCTGTACATAAGCAAGCTGCAGGCTAGATTTGGACAGATCATAGTTTGCCAACTCCTGCCTGAAATCAATGAGGAAGTTAAGTGAGCTTTGTTTCAGAAATATTTCCCTGGAGAGCAGCTTGCTAAATACCAAAGTAAAAGTAAGTAGAAACAATAGAAAACATCAACAAGGTTAATATTAAGAGATTCGGTACTATCAATAATCTTAAAGAAAATATTGATAAGGTAAGCTAAAAGGCAGATTACCCATAAAAAATGCAGATAGATTGGTAGATAGGACTTTTGGGAAAACTCAAATACTCCAGAAGGTTTAGTCTTATCAAATTATAACTATAGTTGACCCTTGGACAACATGGGCTTAAACTGGCAAGTCCACTTATTTGTAGATTGTTTTCTGCATCTGCCACCCCTGAGATGGCAAGATGAGACGGCCAACTCCTACTCTCTTCTTCCTTCTCACCTACTAAACATGAAGATTATGAGGATGAAGACCTTTCTGAGGATCCACTTTCACTTAATGAATAGTAAATACATTTTCCCTTCCTTACGATTTTCTTAATAACATTTTCTCCGGCTTATTGTAAGAATACAGTACATAATTCATATAAGAACATAAAAAATATGTGTTAATTTAATTGTTTATATTATCAGAAAGGTTTCTGGTCAACAACAGGCTATTAGCAGTTAATTTTTTGGGGAATCAAAAATTATACAGACTTTCGATTGCAAACCAGATCAGCACCCTCATTGTTCAAGGGTCAACTGTATCTGTTAATAAATTCATGCTGGGAACCTGCTTGAATTGGCTATAATATACTCACTTTAATACAAATGTAAATACTTAAAATTATCATAGATTGAAAACAATTTTTAACATTCCAAAATATCTAGTTTGGGCTATAGTTTAGAGCAAGTTTGTCCAACCCACAGCCCGAAGGCCACGTGCACCCCAGGACAGCTTTGGATGCAGTCTAACATGAATTCATAAACTTTCTTAAAACATTATGAGATTTTTTTTTTTTTAGCTCATCAGCTATTGTTAGTGTCAGTGTATTTTATGTGTGGTCCAACATAATTCTTCCAGTGAGGCCCCGGGAAGCCAAAAGATTTAACACCCTGGGTGTAGGGAATTATTCATTGTCAGCAGTGATAAGATAAACTGGTATAACTGCTTTGGACAGAAATTTGGTGGTATCCATCAAATTTTAAAACTTTCTGTTGTAGCAATTTTTTAGGAATTAACAGATATAATTATATAAGAATGCAGAAATTTATGTAGAAGGATATTTACTGGATATTGTTTGTGATTGCAAAAAACTGCAATCAACCCAAACTTCCATCACAGAGAAACAGTTAAATTATGGTACATCCATACATATCACAGTCATTAATAGGACTAAAATAAATTTATATGTACTAATAGGAAATGACAGCTATAATATATTAAGTAAAGGCAAAAGCAATTGCCAAATAGTGGGTATACAGGTTTATTAACATTTAAATAAATCTATAGGTATATACGCATACACATATATATGTATACAGACACACACATATCTTTTTATATGCATAGAAAATACTACATAATGTATAACAAACACTTAATAATGGTTTCCCCTAAGGAATGGTTATGAGAAAGGAGAAATAGAAGACTTAACTTTTTACTTGAAATTATTCTATACTGTTTTACTTTTCTTTTTAAACAACTAGCATATTACTGTTGTAAGTTTAATAAAAAGTCACTTAAATAGGAAAGTTGTGGTAATGTCAACAAGACAGAGAAGAATCACTAAATAAGAAATAATTAAAAATAAAAAATAAACAAGGAGAAGATCTATTTATAGACTCTTCAAAGAAGGTCCCTGTGAGAAAGTAGTACTTATATTGAGCTGTAAGAAAGCACCAACAAAAGAATGGTGGAGGGGTCAAATGTTGAAAAGACGTAGTTTTAGTCAAAGAAAAGAGCAGTCTAAGTTCCTGAACAAGGAAGAAATATACACTGTTTGAGAAAATAAAAGATAGCTGGTGTAGCTGAAACTTGGTAAGGAAAAAAAAAGGAGGCAGGTTAAAAAGAGATAATCCACAGCTTTGTTGGTCACAGTATAAGTTTGGATTTTATTTGAAATATGACTGGCAGCCATTTAAGGTTGTTTTAAATACAGAAATGCCTTTTTGCCCATCTGATTTTAAAAGACTATTCCACTATTTGGAGATGAGAATTGAAAGGGGACAGATAAAATAACTGCAGTAGTTTCGTCAAGAAATGTTAACTTGGTGTAGAAAGAAAAATGGATAGTTTTGGGAAAAGAAACAATGAAACTTATTGATAGAATGGAGACTTGGGGAAAAGAGGAATTGGAAGAATCAGGAATGATAGGTGGTATCAAGTAAGTAAATCATAATTTTAACCATCACCACTAGCAGGTTTATATCAAATATCACACGAATAAAGATGTTTAATTAGAATGCTCTAAATTTCTAAATATTACACTGCTCCATCATTACTCAAGTTTTAAGTAAGATTACTCAAGTTTTAAAACAATGAGATATTTAGGAAATACAATCCTAAAACAAACACTGTAATACATATATCTAAAAGTATGATTTTCTAAGAAAGAATAAATCATTTGAAAAATATTTACTGAGTACCTACTATATGCCAGTCATTGTATTAAATGCTGGGAAAGAACTCAATGTAATATTTTGAAAATTAAACCAACTACTCTTCATATAATACAGTGTAAGTATTATTTTAAGAATTCTAGTTAAACGTCATAGTTTTATCTTATACATTACACACTCAAAAACAATTATTTTACTACTTTTAAAGATAATACTTTTCAAGGAAAACTATTTCATATTTCATACATACCTTTTGAAGATTGTTTCAAAGATTCAGGAAGCTTCACCAAAGAATGCTGTCGAACAGCTCCCTCCAGTATTGGGTTGACACTTTTCTTTTTCTCCACACCCTGTGTAATTTTGGGATCAGACATACTTCCAGTTATATAATCTTGATTAAACTGAGAAACAATCCGAGAATTTTTCATCTTTGTAAATGTAAACTTTGGAATTCCAACTGTTTTGTTAAGGCTGCTCTGAGCTTCATCTGTTACAGTGTTATGGCATGGTTGCTTAGTACTCAATTTCTTCTTGGAAGCGGCAATTTCTGTACTCATATGAGCTGAAGTTACATTCAAACTTGAACTTCCTGAAAGAACCAATTTGGAACTACTCACTTGTACTGGAACATATGTGTTAGTACAAGAGACACGCAGATTATTTATCTGACAGTTTGAGATCTCAGAATACGTAGTCGAATTTGTGGTACCTAAAAAACTTGGAGAATTTCCATATATTTCCCCTTTCTCCATCTTCATTGGCTTATCTATTTGTAAGCTATTTGTCAAAGGTGTCTGCACTGAAATGTTGCCTGGATTCAAATGCTTCGATTGTACCAAATTACTTCCTTGTTTAGATACAGTAAACATGTTTTTGGCTCCACGTTTAGAATTGTTATCAATCTCACGTATACTTTCTGATGTGTTAGTGTCCATTCTGATGTCTTGTTGCTGAGTTAGTCTTTCAATATCATCACATGCTTGGTACAACAAATCATCATCTACATCATCTGCTTCCCAGGTATTATCTAATTGATGACATGCTTTAATAATTTCATGGGCAAATGAGGGATCATTCCAATCATCAAAGAAAGAGCCTAATTTTGATGCACTGGTGTGATTTGGGTTACTAACACTGCTTTTATTGCCTAGATTTGCAGAGCCAAAAAGATCAGTATTCACATGTGATTTAACAGACTGATTTAAAATGCACTTGCTTTTCTGTTCATTAGAATATCCTGTATTCAAAGCAGACTTCTTTTCAGAAGCATGTACAGTATGAGTAAATTTAGTATGAATATCTTCCTTTATTTTTGTCAGATTAGATGTAACTGTATAATTTTGAATTTTGTCTTGAATAACAATTTTATTGGAAGAGTTTTCAAATTTCATTTTATTTCCAGTGGATGATAATTTGTTTGAATTTGGTGAAAATCTATATTCTGCATCTATTAGTTCTCTGTCATATGTCTTTGAAGAAAGATCTTGTAATACTTTTGAATCTCCTAAACTGGCATCTAAACTTGTATTTACTCTTGACATATTTTTATCATTTTTACTATTAAAGGTACAAATTCCCTTTTGATCAGTAACCTGGGCTGTTTTAGAAAGGAAGAGTTCAGGCATGTCGACATTTTGTATAACAAAAGCTTCATTACTTACTAAGTTTTCCCATTCATCCTCAAAATCACTGGTAGTAAATGCATCAATGTACTTATTAGAAGTTTCTGGCTCCTCAGTACAGGAAGTCACACATGATTTTGTCATTATGGTTGTATCTACTTGAGAAGAAAGTGATCGTGGGGTTTTATTTGGCAGTTTTTCCATGACCAGAGTTTCATTAGTATTAATTTTCTCCTCTTTCAAAGCATTTGTCTTTCCAAAGGTAGTATTATTGGTGCTCCAAAAAGCCTCTGGCAGTTCTTGGCTTAACCGTCCACTACATTTCTGAGTAGAACCATCAAAAATGGCATTCAATGCTGCTTCAGCCGTTTGGTCAAACGGCTTCTGACTGCTATTTTGATGATTTGCCACAGATATCTTGGTCTTTCCTTTGATTGGCTTCTTTTTTGTAGCATTATCTATTTCGGGAACTATATTATGTAATGACTGCATCCATATATTATCTTTATAATTACTTAAAATCTCTGTTTCTGAAATCATCTGGGTAAAATCATAATTCCTCTTGTTTTGTTCTTCTAGCACATCAAGCTCTTCCATATTTTTATCAAATTCTTTAGCCAGTTTCATAAGTTCTTCTTCTTGATTTTTTGTTTTTAACCTATTAAACAAGATTAAAAAATTATAATTAAAAATGTTCTGAGACATTATATCCAATTTTATTTAACATATTTTGATGTTAAACCTCTAAGATTTTAACACTTATAATTATTTTAACTGCAAAATTTCATAGATAAAAATATGGAAATTTTATTAACAAAAATTTTGATATATTCACAAAACCAAACTGGAGAATTATCAAAAATATTTGCTTTATTGAATCTCAGAAAAGCTGAAAAGTCTTAACTTACTTTGTGCAGCCGATTTTTGCTCTTGATTTTCCTTTTGCTACACTGGGGGTACAAGGAATAGCAGTTTCACCAATCCACACGTCCAGCATAGAATTTGTTGTTGGTTTTTCATCCTTTGGCAGATAGGGGGAAAAATGGTATAAAGTACCAATGCAGCACCCACCCTTCCAAATAAAAGAGGGGAGAGGGAGAAGGAGAGAAGGAGAGAGGGAGAGAGGGAGAGAGGGAGAGAGGGAGAGAAGGAGAGAGGGAGAGAGGGAAAGAGGGAGAGAGGGATGAAAAAAGAAAGAAAATAAAAAGTAACTATTTGAATTAATTTTCTAAATTCTGGTAAAGTAATAGTTACCAAACAAACTCATAATCAGTGAGAAGTTGGGAGACAGCAATAATAAGCTACAAGAATCGATCCACTTATGTTTCAGAATATGAAAACGTTCAGAATTAGAAATTGTTTATTTTCAAAAAATATTGTTTTAAGAATTAAATTTATCAAATGTACATTTAATAATAGAAGTATATGCTTTTATCAAAAGAAAATGGACATTTTAATTGTCATAAAGTACTTATAAAAACATTAGTGCCAAAAACCGTGTTGCAGAAATCATCAGAATTGACAATAATGAGATACATATGGAAATTATTTCTGTACCATCTGATTCTCCAAATTTTCTTTACCTTTATTATAGTCTTTATCTAAAGTTGGACAATCCATGTTGACCTAAATTAGGAATACTCAGAATTAAGGTCAGGACTGAATTAAGAGATAACAGCAAGGTTAGAACTGATGCTAAGAATGAGGCAGGAATAAGAATAAAAAATAAATAGAGAAAGCAGAAAAGTTTAACCAGGATAATATATAGAAAAAAGGCATTTTAGATCTGGATATTGTTGCTGTACCTTTCAGTCACTTGATCATGCAAAAAAATTAAAAGAGAATGAGCTTCAGGCATTAATTGCAAACCAAACCAACAAATCAAATAAATTAACCATTTTCATTCTACTTTATAGCATCTAGAATGAACATAAATATCACACAAGGTAAAAAATAATCTTACTACCACATTATAGGCTACGCAAAGCAAAGACTCTTCTTAGGATAGCTCAGCATCTAGCACAATACTGGGCATAACAGTGTCAGTTTACATTTATTTACTAGAAGGTTTAGGTGAAGACATCCTACATCTTGGTACTTCAAATCCTCAGTGATTCAAAAAGCAGTTTTCTTAATGTCGATTTGAACCTAGTTGCCTTTAGCTTTGCAAATACTCAAGAAAATCAGTAATTTCACTTTCAGACTCTATATTTTCCCTTTTGTTTCAATAATAATCTTGAATTTAAAGAAAATAATAGTCTTAATTATGAACTCTGCCACTTACCAAAGTAATTTTCAATTCAATTTTCAGAGAACTAAATTATGACTTTACGTACCCAACTTTATATATACATGGGTCCTATGCATGTTTGTATACTATTTATATGTGTTATATATTACATATTTCTTCCTTAATAATTACATAATTTATTGATTTCCAACCATAATCCAGATGCTATATAAGGTATCTAAATGCATTACTTCACTTCACTGTAAAAACTATATACTGTGCAAAGCTGTATAAATGAAGATATATACTATCTTCAAATAAACAACACTGTATAAAAAGTATCCCTGCAGAAAGTGAATTGATTGTCCAATTAAAATAAAAGCGCGTCTTAAAAAAATTGCTCTCTCTGAAAATGTTAAAAGAAAATTAAATAATGATTTGAGAAGGACTCACCTAAAAATAAACAATATAAGTATTTGTCATTCTGAGAACATGACAAGCTTTCAAACAGACGTTGAAACTGCTGAAGATTTATATGCTTTAAAAGTACTCAGTGTAAGAGGGTAACATTTTAAATCTACTAATTTCACTGTATTTTTTTCTTTTACACAAGTTACCACTTGCATACTGTTGCCATTTCTTTATATGAACTACTGTTTCCAGCCCACTAAGGTGAAGGGTCCAATAATTTATTCACAACTATCTTTTCATCACTATTTAGGCTGGCCAGCCCAAACACATTTTATTATGCTTTTTTGATGTGAAAACCACAATTAATGAAGATCTATTGTTTAACTTATAGAGTAAGTACTATTATGGCATAAATGCTATTTAACTAATGAATGGTAAGTAAAATGAATTTCTATGACATGTTAAATATGGAATGTAGAGCCAATAGCAACAGAGTTGTTTTGACTGTGCTAGGTGTAATTTTGGTTATTTTACAGCTGCTAAGAAAAACTTCATTTCCTGTCTCTTCCACCTGGATGACAGTCATCCCTCAAACCATGTTTTGGACCAGTGCCATGTAACTGTTTATGGTCAACATATAGTAACTATTCAAGGACATGTTAAGGGAAAATAGCATACTTCCTTTACAGAAGACACTAAGCAAAAATGTTCTTGGAATTAAATGTTGTTAAATAAGAAAAATAGAACAAAAAATAAAGAAGTTCAGAACAGTTTTATGGATTAAGCCTTTGCTTCTCAGTAATGTCATATAATATTAGAGTTATTGGATTGCTTTGTGTCAAATGATTGACTTGAACATATTTCTATTTCACTCACAGAGGACAAGAACTGAAATGAAAAAAAGAAATGAAGCACTTAAAAAAATTTTTTTTTAAGAGACAGGGTCTTAAACTCCTGGCCTCAAGTAATCTTCCTGCCTCTACCTTCCTCCCAAAATCTTGATATTACAGGCGTGAGTCACCATGCCTGGCCGAGAAAAAAAAGTTTGGAGATGGTTCTATTACAGTAATAACCTTAACATAGCCTTACAATTATAGCACTCTATAGTTTACAAAGAATTTTTATGTAGTTTAATCCTCATAATGATCCAACGAAGAGAGCAAGAGCAAGACAAGTAATAATCTAGTTCATAGCTGAATGAACTGAGGTGGTGAAAGTTTAAATAACTTGCACTGGGTCACACAGCACAGGAGGCTGAATGAGGACTAAAACTGAATTCAGTGATCTCCACTTTTGTGTTTCTTGATGATCTTGTAAGTCAATGACTATTAAGAAAAACAGTTTCAATAGGGAAATGTTATACTACAGACAGTAAATACCAATCACAAAACAACCATAAAAGTTTAAATTTTTTTGACTGCCTTATTCTATTATTTTAGTAACTTGAAAAATGATGCCATAGGTTGTTAAGCACATTAGATAAAAACACTCAAATGCCCTAGTAAAAAATTACTCTAAAAAATTAAAACAACATATATACTTACGAAAATATCTATTACTAATTTTATATTATGTTCCTTTTTTCAAAATACGCATTTCAAAAGCAGAAAAGGCAAAACAGTAATTTTTGCTGCCTTATTTTTGGAAAAAAGAATTATAAAAGACAATACTTTTCATTTAAAGAAACTGTACAAGAAGTTAGTGGCACAGTCTTCACTGTTTTAAAACAAACTATAAAACTAGTGATATTTACCTGAGGAGCAATACGATTAACAATCTGTGAAATCTCATCACTATCTGTGGTGTAAATCCGTTTTTTTCTTCCTTTACCTAAGCAAATAAAGACATTTCTATAAATTCTAAACAAAAAACCCTCAATTTTTAAAAATACCTGTCACTTCTTAGAAAATAATTTTAATTAGTGCAGCTTAGAGGATTATGTGTTTATATCACATACACAGATAAAATCATTTAAGATTCTCGGAAGTGCCCGATGCTATTATCTGACTAGAATTCTAGTTAAATCTGAATCATTTATCAAATATTTACCCACATAAAAAATGTTCATAATGAATTACCTAACTGCTTTGTCAATGGAGAATTCTGATCCCAAAAGATATCATTCTGTCCATCTGGATCATTAGGAGAACTGAAGGAAGATGACAGTAAGTCCATTTTCAGCATTCTCTTTGGTGTTTCATACCTTTCTATATAAAATATGATTAAAATTACAATTGTTGCATTTTAAAGTATTACCTTACTTCATAATACCCCAGTCAATTAATAGCTTAGCCTTTAATAGTCCAATATAATTTTTTTCCCAGAGATAAGTCCCTGAACCATAAATGATTGTTTCGTATAAAAATCCATGCAGCACTTCCCAATCTTGACATTGTAAATAGCAAGCACTTTTAGATAATCTAGAAGGTCTATGAATGCATAATACAATACTGTATAACCTAAGTCATTCTATTTATTATCATTGAGACTTGGAGGCTTTGGGGAACCACCTATATTTATAGGTACACTTCAAAAATCAAAAGTATCCTAACAAAAACCTAAATATGTTTAGCCCCTTTTATCAACTCTATCCAATCTATATTAATTGTGATTCTTCAAAAAGCATTAGTGATAAAATGCTTGGGAATTTTTGTCTAGAATTCACTTTCAAACTTTTATAAAGATTTTTGTTCATTCCCGAATTGCTTTATGGGAGTATTATTAAAGAAATGTAAGGTAACAAGCACTATTTAATGAACATGCTCCAGAATAAAGGCTTCTGTATGAGTTTCAATTCCAACTAATATTTACTAGAAGTCTTTTAAAAGGGAACACCAAAAACTAATCGAGATAAAAGGGGGCCTTAGTATCTTACTTGGAGGGATGTTACATAGCAACTTCCGGTTTTTTAATAATGAGGTGAGGTATCACCCAGGCTTTGAGACAAACTTTTAACTTTTCATATGGCCTCTTCTCTAAAACAGGTCGGGGGTCGGGGATGGGGGGAAGCTTTAAAGAGAAATAACTTCTCCGGGCATTAACTGAGGATAGCGGACCTATCAGCTCTTTCTCCTCGCTCTGCCACCGCTGCTGACTGGAGGAGCAGCCCAGAAAGCCGCCGCCTTCCCGCAAACAGGTAAACCACATGACCTATTGCTGTGGCGGTGGCAAGGGGATGGTCAAACCTAACGGGGTAGTGCTCAAGCTCGAGGACAAAAGCCCATCGGGGAGTGGTAAAGGATTATTTTTGAACTCTCGAGGGGTGAATCCCAGAGAAAGAATACACACTCCAAACTCCACCCCCACCCCTGATTTCCCTGTTCCAAGCGGGGATGTGGGGATGCAGAGCCAAAGCCAAGGCAGGCCGCGCTGCCGACGTCTCACCCTCGGGGTTACTTTTACTGCACAAGGCGGCTGCTGGAGGCTGCTCTCGCTGCCGCACTGGCCCAGGAGGCCCCTCTTTAGCCCCGCGGGGCCACGAATCGCGGGCCGGCCTCAGCCGCCTCCTCCCTGGCTCGACCACCGAGCCGCATTCCTCAGTCGCCGCTGTTTTGTGCGGCGTGTTCTTCGGGTTAGGGCTGTCATCAAGTTTCCTCCGCCGACTCATTGCCTATGACCTGCCTCCAGCAGCCGCTTCTTTCACATTTTGCAAAGGGATGAGTAGGGCAACCGCACTACAAACACGACTCGGCGTTAGCGGTAGCCGCCATTTTGGCCGGTGGGACGCGCGCAAGAGGCGGCCGCTGATTGGCTGCGTCTGGGGAAGGGGCAGAGCTGTGAAGGTGTCAAGGGCGCGCGCGCGCGCTTCCGCAGCCGGGACAGGAACATGCCTTGGAGGAGGGTCTAGGCTCAAATTACTCCGGACTGGAAGGGATTATAGGGGTAGTAGTCGTACGCGTAAACTGAGTGGGAGCTTGTGAGATGGAAAGGAGATTGAATACACTAACAGCTTTTTATTGAATTTACATCGAAAATTGCACCTTAGATTCATATTAAGGATCTTCGAATTTGTCAAGAAGAGGAGATACAGCTAATTTTTCATAGATGATATGTTTATAGAAAAATCCAGAAGATATCCTCCAGATCCCAGAATGGTAGATCCACTAGCAGATTGCAAAAAAAAAAAAAAAAAGAAAAAAAACAAAAGAAAGTAGAAAAAATTACTAACATGGTAATTTAAGAGTTGATGGATACAAAGTCAATATTCAAAGATCAATGTGTTTCAATAGATTAGCAACAAATATAAAATTGAAGTTTTAAAGCGATACTATTTATAATAGTATATGAGATAACAAGTAACTAGAAATAAGTTAAAGATTGTCCTTCCTACAAAGAAAACTATAAAACATTTTTGAAATAACAGGAAGACCTAAACAAATGGTTATACTATATTCATGGGTTGTGAGACTCAATATTGTTACAATGTCAGCTATTTCCAAATTGATCTATAGATTCGACATTAATACATCCAAAGTCCCAAGATATATTTTATAGTTTGTGTGTGTGTGTGTGTGTGTGTGTGTGTGTGTGGTGACAAGTTTTTTGTTCAATTTACATGAAAATGCAAAGGACCAAAAATATCAATAAACTCTTGAAGATCTCTTGAAGAATAATGAGGGTAGATATCAACCAGGTATCAAGACTTATGTAAAGTTATGGTAATTAAGACAGTGTTATAATGGCGATGGGATAAAGATGAAAGAAACAGGGTAGCACAGGAACAGACTTTCATGTAAATGAACACGATTTGAGACAAAGATGACCCTCCTGAGCAATGGAAAAGGGACTTTTGAAATTAAATGGTGCTTGGTCTATTTGATATTCACTTAGAAAAAGAAAGAAACATGACCTTTACTTCAAACTTCATCCCCAAATCAGGTGCATATTCATTATAAATTTAACTGTAAAAGATAAAATAATATTTTAGAAGGTATAAATTGTGAGGCACAAATTGGGAGAAAATATTTAGAAGACATATTTAAGGGCCCATATATAAGTTATATGAAGAACTGATACAAATTAAGGAAATGACTGACCATCAAAACCAAAAGTGGATGGGACACTTGAGCAGGATCTTCACAAGAGAAAATATTATCAACAAACTTATAGAAAAATCAGATTCATTTTTTAATTAGGAAAATACAAATGAAAATCATATCAGAATGGCTAAAATTAAAAAGACTGACAATGCAGGTATCAAGGAAGTAAACCAATGGAAGCTTTCATGTACTGCTGGTGAAAGTGTGATTTGGTACAACCACTTTGGAAAACAGTTTTTGGTCTAGCAATCCCACTCTGAGGAGTATTCTCTGTGGAAATGCATGGACTTGTTCATCAAGATACATTTTATAAAAATGTTTTGGTGGGATGCAGTGGCTTATTCCTGTAATCCCAGCACTTTGAGAAGCTGAGGCAGGTGGGTTGCTTGAGCCCAGGAGTTTGAGACCAGCCTGGGCAACATGGCGAAACTCCACCTCTACAAAAAATACAAAAAAATAGCTGGGAGTTTTGGTGCATGGCTGTAGTCCCAGCTAGTAGGGAGGCTGAGGTGGGAGGATCACTTGAGCCCAGGAGCTGAGTTGAGGTGAGCCATGATTGTGCCACTGCATTCCAGCCTGGGTAACAGAAAAAAAAAAAAAAAAAAAAGGAAGGAAGGAAGGAAGAGAAAAGGAAAGAAAGAAAGAATGCTTTTAGCAGTAAAATTCAATTCAAAATTACTTTATACTGTAAGCAGATAAAATGCCTTTCAATAGTAGAATGATAAATATATTGGACTGTATTCACACCACAAAATAGTAATGAAAGTGAAAAGCTACAACTCTGTGCGACAACATGGATATCTCACAAAGATTAGCAAAAAAAGCTAGACCTCCTAATCCTCCTCCATAGTATTAAATAAATCCCACATAAAGTCCATGAGGCAAAATTCTACTATATTATATAGGGATGTAAGCTTTAGTGTTAAAACAGTTAAGAAAAATCTCGGAATGATTACCATAAAAGTCAGGATAATAGTTACTTTCAGAGGGGGAAGGGACAGTGATTAGAAGTGGACAGAGGGAGGAGAGAATTTCATGTACTTACTGGCTTTATTTTCATATTCTAGTTGTTAATTACAGAAGTATTTGTTTTGTGATAATTTACTGAGGTGTACTTTTTTTCACTGTCTACATACATTGTATTTATCAATTAAAATGTTTAAAAATTTTAATGTAAGGCAAAGATCTTAGTTTCCGCTGAGGAACTGATATATTTCTTCTATCTTGTAAACTATTCTGTTTTTACTCTTCAGTTTGGCTGACAGATATCCTAGAACTAAATTTGAGATTCAGGTCTGGCAGTTATATAAACCATATAAATCACTGTGAATAGATAATTCCATTATTTTTCCTCAGTGTTTGACCTTCTACTAATACTTTTCATTTCCATGATTGTTTTTAACCTACATATATTTAAACCATTGTTTAGTTTTATTTATTTATAACCAGATAAGACTGTTTGGAATACAAATGATGTTATATTTTCTAAAATTCAAATTGATTACTTAAGCCTTCATTTGTATAAATTAGTAGGAATATTATTATTTCTCTCAGCGATCTCTCCTACCTGTGAAGTGACCAAAAATCCTAGAAGTATTTAAAAAAAATTTTAAAAAGAACTTAATTTACCCAAATAAATATGCAACTCACATTTAGAAAATAAAGAATTTTAAAGAATTTAGTGATGTTTATTGGAGAAATAACCATGTCGTATTTTCTTAAAGCATATTAATGCTGCAAGTAAAATCACGGTGAATACTTTACCATAACTCCAAATTCTTTAGCGCCCAAGTAACCATTGTTGAAATGGACAACTTGAGCCAAACTTGTTATCTTAACATACCTAGGATTGCTGTAACCTGTAATCATTACGTGGCAGGAAATGACAGTAAATTTTAACTTGAAAATTACTTATTTCACATAATCTGTTACATTTCTAAATGTACTTGAAATTAGATATACTTCCTGAATATAACTCCTGAAGTAAGTATAGCACAATTAACTCCTTAATAAAATGTTCTTAATATGAAACAGTCTTATAGATGTTTAAATGCAATATGATTCATAACTCAGCATTTCTAGGCATTTGAATAATGTATATATATATAAGTAAGGTTTAATGCAACTAAAAATTTTAATAAACGAAAGTAAAACTCTTGCTTGTTTCACTTATAGGGATCAGTTAAAACTTGACAATAATTATTAAGGGAAAAATAGTGACACTGAAGGTCTGAGTGACAGAGGAGCTTCTCTGCCAGTGATTGCCTCCTCACTTACATTACAGTGATGGGTCAATGCTGCTGGATCAATGGCTAACTATGAGCAGTCTTCCTTTCAAGAAAAAAAAAAGCAAAAACAACAAAACAGTAATAATGTGAATTATGTTTATATTTTATATACAGAGCTCCAGCTTTAAATCTATGAGTGCATTTGGCAGAATCTGAACAAGCAACAAAATGATTAGAAGCTTTTTTTTCATTTGTTTTTAATAGTTTTGTTACTATGTTGCCGTACCGAAATGTACCTGGGTAAGTGCTGGGCCCATTTTTCTTTAGTCTTGACCTACCTGCAATTGTATTAGCTAGAACCACCTAGCATGCCTAACTGCCTCATCATGAGCCCCTGCTACCTAGGTGACCATGTCTGGCCAGATGGGCCCAATCAGGTAAAAATGACTGTACTAGACATGGGCAGCTGATATTAGGAACCAGTCCATAGCCTGGCCCTCCACCTCTGACTGACACCTCTGACTGAATTGAAACAATCATATTCTCTGTTCGAGATTTAGCTAAGAATTTGCTAGAGGGCCTTGTGCAAAACCATGGCAGGCAGAACCTGTGAAGAAGCTTGCTCAAAGTGGAACTGAAGGAAGCAGCAGAATTATGCAGACTGGGGATCACTGGAATCTACTTCTGTTGATTCTGGATACCTTGAAACCCAGCCACCATTCAGCTTCAATGTCCATAAGAGCAGATTTTACTGTGATACCAGTCCTTTTTTCTTTCAATGTGAGCCCTTACAGTAAACTTCCTTTGTTAGGTGGGGGCTAGCTAATGCCAGTTGGTCTCTATTTCTTACATATAAAAAGAAACCTGAACTAAAATATAGAAAAAAACACCAGGATTTGGTCAAGGATTGCAGTCTAATTGTTTCTTAAAGGAATATTATTTTGAAAAGTTCAAAATAGAATGAAACAAAATTCCATTTAAAGATGAAGCTGGAAGTTAAAATATTTTAGTGACTCCTTTGGACATGAGACAAATTATACTGGACACTAGCTGTCATCTGAAATCACTTTTTCAGTTCGATTATTTTATAAAGACCTAAGAGTTAGGGAAATATGGAATGTATTTTTTTTTTTCCTCTGTAGCCCCATACTCCTGATGACATTACAAGCTTTGCTTTATCAGTTTCTTCAATTTTCTTACCCTCTGAACCTACCAATACACTTTTCTTACTAGGCTTCAGCTTTGGATCAATCATGCTGTTTATTTTCTCAGCTCCTGAGCTGTTATGTTGGAAAGATTCTTTACTGCACCACTGTGAACCTATAGTCATCAGCTGAGCTTTGAGTGGCACATGACAATGTCACTGAGCAGCTCATCCTTCTATTCTCCAAAATAGAGATTCCAAATTTCTAACACATTCTACAAATCCCCTTCCAGCTCATGTTTTCCTTTATTAAACGTATTTGCATTCTATTTCC